AATGGCAAGACTGGGGACTGGATCAGTGATAATGGCATGACTGGGGGACTGGATAAGTGATAATGGCATGACTGGGGGACTGGATAACTGTGACAATGGCATGACTGGGGGACTGGATAAGTGATAATGGCATGACTGGGGGACTGGATAACTGTGACAATGGCATGACTGGGGGACTGGATAAGTGATAATGGCATGACTGGAGGACTGGATAACTGACAATGGCATGACTGGCAGGACTGGATAACTGTGACAATGGCATGACTGAGGGACTGGATAACTGTGACAATGGCATGACTGGCAGGACTGGATAACTGTGACAATGGCATGACAAAGCATGTTATTGTAGTGTAAGCATAATAGTAGTGGACATGTAATCTGCCATAACAAAGGTAACCATAACATTACGCTAGTGTTCACATAGTGCACGCTTGCCTTACACATGTGCTACTGTTCACATACTGCACGCTTGCCTTACACGTGCTACTGCTAGTGTTCACATAGTGCACGCTTGCCTTACACATGTGCTACTGCTAGTGTTCACATAGTGCACGCTTGCCTTACACATGTGCTACTGCTAGTGTTCACATAGTGCATGCTTGCCTTACACATGTGCTACTGCTAGTGTTCACATAGTGCACGCTTGCTTTACACGTGCTACTGCTAGTGTTCACATAGTGCACGCTTGCCTTACACATGTGCTACTGCTAGTGTTCACATAGTGCACGCTTGCCTTACACATGTGCTACTGCTAGTGTTCACATAGTGCACGCTTGCCTTACACATGTGCTACTGCTAGTGTTCACATAGTGCACGCTTGCCTTACACATGTGCTACTGCTAGTGTTCACATAGTGCATGCTTGCCTTACACATGTGCTACTGCTAGTGTTCACATAGTGCACGCTTGCCTTACACATGTGCTACTGCTAGTGTTCACATAGTGCACGCTTGCCTTACACATGTGCTACTGCTAGTGTTCACATAGTGCACGCTTGCCTTACACATGTGCTACTGCTAGTGTTCACATAGTGCACGCTTGCCTTACACATGTGCTACTACTAGTGTTCACATAGTGAACGCTTGCCTTACACATGTGCTACTGCTAGTGTTCACATAGTGCATGCTTGCCTTACACATGTGCTACTGCTAGTGTTCACATAGTGCACGCTTGCCTTACACATGTGCTACTGCTAGTGTTCACATAGTGCACGCTTGCCTTACACATGTGCTACTACTAGTGTTCACATAGTGCACGCTTGCCTTACACATGTGCTACTGCTAGTGTTCACATAGTGCACGCTTGCCTTACACATGTGCTACTGCTAGTGTTCACATAGTGCACGCTTGCCTTACACATGTGCTACTACTAGTGTTCACATAGTGAACGCTTGCCTTACACATGTGCTACTGCTAGTGTTCACATAGTGCACGCTTGCCTTACACATGTGCTACTGCTAGTGTTCACATAGTGCACGCTTGCCTTACACATGTGCTACTGCTAGTGTTCACATAGTGCATGCTTGCCTTACACATGTGCTACTGCTAGTGTTCACATAGTGCACGCTTGCCTTACACATGTGCTACTGCTAGTGTTCACATAGTGCACGCTTGCCTTACACATGTGCTACTGCTAGTGTTCACATAGTGCACGCTTGCCTTACACATGTGCTACTGCTAGTGTTCACATAGTGCACGCTTGCCTTACACATGTGCTACTGCTAGTGTTCACATAGTGCACGCTTGCCTTACACATGTGCCACTGCTAGTGTTCACATAGTGCACGCTTGCCTTACACATGTGCTACTGCTAGTGTTCACATAGTGCACGCTTGCCTTACACATGTGCCACTGCTAGTGTTCACATAGTGCATGCTTGCCTTACACATGTGCTACTGCTAGTGTTCACATAGTGCACGCTTGCCTTACACATGTGCCACTGCTAGTGTTCACATAGTGCACGCTTGCCTTACACATGTGCTACTGCTAGTGTTCACATAGTGCACGCTTGCCTTACACATGTGCTACTGCTAGTGTTCACATAGTGCACGCTTGCCTTACACATGTGCTACTGCTAGTGTTCACATAGTGCACGCTTGCCTTACACATGTGCCACTGCTAGTGTTCACATAGTGCACGCTTGCCTTACACATGTGCTACTGCTAGTGTTCACATAGTGCACGCTTGCCTTACACATGTGCTACTGCTAGTGTTCACATAGTGCACGCTTGCCTTACACATGTGCCACTGCTAGTGTTCACATAGTGCACGCTTGCCTTACACATGTGCTACTGCTAGTGTTCACATAGTGCACGCTTGCCTTACACATGTGCTACTGCTAGTGTTCACATAGTGCACGCTTGCCTTACACATGTGCTACTGCTAGTGTTCACATAGTGCACGCTTGCCTTACACATGTGCTACTGCTAGTGTTCACATAGTGCACGCTTGCCTTACACATGTGCCACTGCTAGTGTTCACATAGTGCACGCTTGCCTTACACATGTGCTACTGCTAGTGTTCACATAGTGCACGCTTGCCTTACACATGTGCCACTGCTAGTGTTCACATAGTGCATGCTTGCCTTACACATGTGCTACTGCTAGTGTTCACATAGTGCACGCTTGCCTTACACATGTGCCACTGCTAGTGTTCACATAGTGCACGCTTGCCTTACACATGTGCTACTGCTAGTGTTCACATAGTGCACGCTTGCCTTACACATGTGCTACTGCTAGTGTTCACATAGTGCACGCTTGCCTTACACATGTGCTACTGCTAGTGTTCACATAGTGCACGCTTGCCTTACACATGTGCTACTGCTAGTGTTCACATAGTGCACGCTTGCCTTACACATGTGCTACTGCTAGTGTTCACATAGTGCACGCTTGCCTTACACATGTGCTACTGCTAGTGTTCACATAGTGCACGCTTGCCTTACACATGTGCTACTACTAGTGTTCACATAGTGAACGCTTGCCTTACACATGTGCTACTGCTAGTGTTCACATAGTGCATGCTTGCCTTACACATGTGCTACTGCTAGTGTTCACATAGTGCACGCTTGCCTTACACATGTGCTACTGCTAGTGTTCACATAGTGCACGCTTGCCTTACACATGTGCTACTACTAGTGTTCACATAGTGCACGCTTGCCTTACACATGTGCTACTGCTAGTGTTCACATAGTGCACGCTTGCCTTACACATGTGCTACTGCTAGTGTTCACATAGTGCACGCTTGCCTTACACATGTGCTACTACTAGTGTTCACATAGTGAACGCTTGCCTTACACATGTGCTACTGCTAGTGTTCACATAGTGCACGCTTGCCTTACACATGTGCTACTGCTAGTGTTCACATAGTGCACGCTTGCCTTACACATGTGCTACTGCTAGTGTTCACATAGTGCATGCTTGCCTTACACATGTGCTACTGCTAGTGTTCACATAGTGCACGCTTGCCTTACACATGTGCTACTGCTAGTGTTCACATAGTGCACGCTTGCCTTACACATGTGCTACTGCTAGTGTTCACATAGTGCACGCTTGCCTTACACATGTGCTACTGCTAGTGTTCACATAGTGCACGCTTGCCTTACACATGTGCCACTGCTAGTGTTCACATAGTGCACGCTTGCCTTACACATGTGCTACTGCTATATAATTAAGATAAATGAACTGATCATGTTGAGATATTTTTAGGTTAAAAGTTATGATTAAGTTCAGCTAAACCAAATACAGTATAGTTTTTGAACAAGTTATTTGATATAAGGAATAGTGTGTACATGTCGTTGTCCATGTTTAGGAGTGACGGCCTCGACATTATTGATCTTTTATGTTAATGAACGAGTTTGAGGTAGTAGTAATTGAACACCTTGAGGTAATGTTGACCCATATGACTACCATTATTACCCTACAGGTCACCATACACCCTCCCATATGACTACCATTATTACCCTACAGGTCACCATACACCCTCCCATATGACTACCATTATTACCCTACAGGTCACCATACACCCTCCCATATGACTACCATTATTACCCTACAGGTCACCATACACCCTCCCATATGACTACCATTATTACCCTACAGGTCACCATACACTAACCACCCATATGACTACCATTATTACCCTACAGGTCACCATACACCCTCCCATATGACTACCATTATTACCCTACAGGTCACCATACACTAACCACCCATATGACTACCATTATTACCCTACAGGTCACCATACACCCTCCCATATGACTACCATTATTACCCTACAGGTCACCATACACTAACCACCCATATGACTACCATTATTACCCTACAGGTCACCATACACCCTCCCATATGACTACCATTATTACCCTACAGGTCACCATACACTTAACCACCCATACGACTACCATTATTACCCTACAGGTCACCATACACCCTCCCATATGACTACCATTATTACCCTACAGGTCACCATACACCCTCCCATATGACTACCATTATTACCCTACAGGTCACCATACACCCTCCCATATGACTACCATTATTACCCTACAGGTCACCATACACCCTCCCATATGACTACCATTATTACCCTACAGGTCACCATACACCCTCCCATATGACTACCATTATTACCCTACAGGTCACCATACACCCTCCCATATGACTACCATTATTACCCTACAGGTCACCATACACCCTCCCATATGACTACCATTATTACCCTACAGGTCACCATACACCCTCCCATATGACTACCATTATTACCCTACAGGTCACCATACACCCTCCCATATGACTACCATTATTACCCTACAGGTCACCATACACCCTCCCATATGACTACCATTATTACCCTACAGGTCACCATACACCCTCCCATATGACTACCATTATTACCCTACAGGTCACCATACACCCTCCCATATGACTACCATTATTACCCTACAGGTCACCATACACCCTCCCATATGACTACCATTATTACCCTACAGGTCACCATACACCCTCCCATATGACTACCATTATTACCCTACAGGTCACCATACACCCTCCCATATGACTACCATTATTACCCTACAGGTCACCATACACTTAACCACCCATACGACTACCATTATTACCCTACAGGTCACCATACACCCTCCCATATGACTACCATTATATCCCTACAGGTCACCATACACCCTCCCATATGACTACCATTATTACCCTACAGGTCACCATACACCCTCCCATATGACTACCATTATTACCCTACAGGTCACCATACACCCTCCCATATGACTACCATTATTACCCTACAGGTCACCATACACCCTCCCATATGACTACCATTATTACCCTACAGGTCACCATACACCCTCCCATATGACTACCATTATTACCCTACAGGTCACCATCACCACGACTACTTACAGGTCACCAACCACCCATACGACTACCATTATTACCCTACAGGTCACCATACACCCTCCCATATGACTACCATTATATCCCTACAGGTCACCATACACCCTCCCATATGACTACCATTATTACCCTACAGGTCACCATACACCCTCCCATATGACTACCATTATTACCCTACAGGTCACCATACACCCTCCCATATGACTACCATTATTACCCTACAGGTCACCATACACCCTCCCATATGACTACCATTATTACCCTACAGGTCACCATACACCCTCCCATATGACTACCATTATTACCCTACAGGTCACCATACACCCTCCCATATGACTACCATTATTACCCTACAGGTCACCATACACCCTCCCATATGACTACCATTATTACCCTACAGGTCACCATACACCCTCCCATATGACTACCATTATTACCCTACAGGTCACCATACACCCTCCCATATGACTACCATTATTACCCTACAGGTCACCATACACCCTCCCATATGACTACCATTATTACCCTACAGGTCACCATACACTAACCTCCCATATGACTACCATTATTACCCTACAGGTCACCATACACCCTCCCATATGACTACCATTATTACCCTACAGGTCACCATACACCCTCCCATATGACTACCATTATTACCCTACAGGTCACCATACACCCTCCCATATATCTACCATTATTACCCTACAGGTCACCATACACTAACCTCCCATATGACTACCATTATTACCCTACAGGTCACCATACACCACCCTCCCATATGACTACCATTATTACCCTACTGGTCACCATACACCCTCCCATATGACTACCATTATTACCCTACAGGTCACCATACACCCTCCCATATGACTACCATTATTACCCTACAGGTCACCATACACCCTCCCATATGACTACCATTATTACCCTACAGGTCACCATACACCCTCCCATATGACTACCATTATTACCCTACAGGTCACCATACTCCCTCCCATATGACTACCATTATATCCCTACAGGTCACCATACACCCTCCCATATGACTACCATTATTACCCTACTGGTCACCATACACCCTCCCATATGACTACCATTATTACCCTACTGGTCACCATACACCCTCCCATATGACTACCATTATTACCCTACAGGTCACCATACACCACCCTCCCATATGACCACCCTTATTTGTTCGGTTAATAATTATGACATTTGTCATTTCAAGCAATGGAATAAAAGAAGGAAAAACATGGACAAATTCACAAGGGCCGTGACGAGGATTAAAAAATTTCTAAAATCCACGGCCCTTGTGGATTTGTTCATTTGATGCATCACGTTAGTGTGATCTGTGTGTGTGTGTGTGAAAAACATGGAAATAATATTTGTAACATTACATATATTTTTGATGAACAGAATTTCATTTTAATTCAATATCGGTTGTTATAGTTCTGAAATTTGAATAGAAATGTTTCTCCATATTTTTTTTTTTAATTAAAGGAAAAATGTCAATCTTTTATGGTAACTAAAAAATTGTTTTTATATACTGTGCCTTAACTTGAGGTTACCTTGAGGTGCTTCCGGGGCTTAGTGTCCCCGCGGCCCGGTCGTCGACCAGGCCTCCTGGTTGCTGGACTGATCAACCAGGCTGTTAGACGCGGCTGCTCGCAGCCTGACGTATGAGTCACAGCCTGGTTGATCAGGTATCCTTTGGGGGTGCTTATCCAGTTCTCTTTTGAACACTGTGAGGGGTCGGCCAGTTATGCCCCTTATGTGTAGCGGTAAATGTACAGTAAATGTCCTCATTGTTTTGGGCAAACAAAATTTTGTACATTCTTGTCCTGTGATCAAAAATTGTTAAAATTAATATCTTTTGTGTGTTAAGGTTTCTCTCTCTATTAGGTAATAATTGCCAGAGAAATAACAAATCTTCATAATTATGGGGGATTTAAATGCAAGACAAATTTGTCATTAATATCCAAAGCGATGGCCCACATGTCACGTGATGTGACCTTCCTCTGAGGTCAAGGGTCAAGCTTATTTACTCGTGTTCCTTAACTGTCATCACAGGTGGCAGCGTTCCTTAACTGTCATCACAGGTGGCAGCGTTCCTTAACTGTCATCACGGGTGGCAGCGTTCCTTAACTGTCATCACAGGTGGCAGCGTTCCTTAACTGTCATCACGGGTGGCAGCGTTCCTTAACTTTCATCACGGGTGGCAGCGTTCCTTAACTGTCATCACGGGTGGCAGCGTTCCTTAACTGTCATCACGGGTGGCAGCGTTCCTTAACTTTCATCACGGGTGGCAGCGTTCCTTAACTGTCATCACGGGTGACAGCGTTCCTTAACTGTCATCACGGGTGGCAGCGTTCCTTAACTGTCATCACGGGTGGCAGCGTTCCTTAACTTTCATCACGGGTGACAGCGTTCCTTAACTGTCATCACAGGTGGCAGCGTTCCTTAACTGTCATCACAGGTGGCAGCGTTCCTTAACCGTCATCACAGGTGGCAGCGTTCCTTAACTGTCATCACAGGTGGCAGCGTTCCTTAACTGTCATCACGGGTGGCAGCGTTCCTTAACTGTCATCACAGGTGGCAGCGTTCCTTAACTGTCATCACGGGTGACAGCGTTCCTTAACTTTCATCACGGGTGGCAGCGTTCCTTAACTGTCATCACGGGTGGCAGCGTTCCTTAACTGTCATCACGGGTGGCAGCGTTCCTTAACTTTCATCACGGGTGGCAGCGTTCCTTAACTGTCATCACGGGTGACAGCGTTCCTTAACTGTCATCACGGGTGACAGCGTTCCTTAACTGTCATCACGGGTGGCAGCGTTCCTTAACTGTCATCACGGGTGGCAGCGTTCCTTAACTGTCATCACGGGTGGCAGCGTTCCTTAACTTTCATCACGGGTGGCAGCGTTCCTTAACTTTCATCACGGGTGGCAGCGTTCCTTAACTGTCATCACAGGTGGCAGCGTTCCTTAACACTTTCGCTCACCCCGCACGCCACCCCTCAACTATGCGATATGGGACCCAGGGTGTCACGGGAGCGCGCGCGTAAATTCTGAAAAGTTTATACAGTACTCTCTTTAACTTTGTCACCTTAATTCTCGTCCTACGAGATTAAATTTTGTATCATTGTGTTCGCAATAGAATTCTCTACAGCACTAAATGCATATAAACTCCAAAAGCCCGGCTAATTACCCGCAGCAAACAGAGAAAGTGCGAACGAGTTACCCAGGAGCGCGCAAACACGATAAAATGTTTTCACTCTGGTCACCTCAATTTTCGTCCTAGGTCTTTCATTTTGGTCTCAATATGTTCGCAATAGAATTCTCTAGAGGAATATTAGCATATAAAATAAAAAACCTGATCACGCTCCAACCGCCGATGAGTTGAAGACGGGCCACGCGTTAGCCGCAAGTGAGCGCTCAGATGCCTTCCAGCTACACTCCCAATTCCCGCTCTTTTCAAGCCTTTCTTTCGCAATTTTCTTCCTGGAAGGGCCTTGTTCATGATCACTATCCATCGTGGAGTAAGCGTAGATAGTTTCTAAAGCCGCAGTAAGAAATATAGCCACGGAAAATCGCCAAAATGTTCACACGTTTGAGATGCGAGGGGAGGCAACATTGGTCACAACAGTGGAGCGAAAACATTGGGCCCACAGCATGTGCCAAGCCGCCTGAGGGCCACGAGAATCAACAAAGAAAATGGGAAGACATCGGCGCGCATTTTAAAACCAGTCCCAAAAGAATCGGATAAAAACCTGATTTTTGGCGATTAATTAAAGTGGATGACTCAATGCTGCGTCATCCCGGGCATTACCGACAGTAAACGGATGACGCAATGCTGCGTCATGCCCGGGCGAAAGTGTTAACTTTCATCACAGGTGGCAGCGTTCCTTAACTTTCATCACAGGTGGCAGCATTCCTTAACTGTCATCACGGGTGGCAGCGTTCCTTAACTGTCATCACGGGTGGCAGCGTTCCTTAACTTTCATCACGGGTGGCAGCGTTCCTTAACTTTCATCACGGGTGACAGCGTTCCTTAACTGTCATCACGGGTGACAGCGTTCCTTAACTGTCATCACGGGTGGCAGCGTTCCTTAACTGTCATCACGGGTGGCAGCGTTCCTTAACTTTCATCACGGGTGGCAGCGTTCCTTAACTGTCATCACGGGTGGCAGCGTTCCTTAACTGTCATCACGGGTGGCAGCGTTCCTTAACTTTCATCACAGGTGGCAGCGTTCCTTAACTGTCATCACGGGTGGCAGCGTTCCTTAACTTTCATCACAGGTGGCAGCGTTCCTTAACCATCACCACCGGTGGCAGTGTTCCTGTGGCAGTGTTCCTTGGCTGTCGCCACCGGTGGCAGCGTTCCTTGACTGTTGCCACCGGTGGCAGCGTTCCTTGACTGTCGCCACCGGTGGCAGCGTTCCTTGACTGTCGCCACCGGTGAGTCGCATGATAGTGGTAGCAGATGTACTAGTGAGTCTGGCGGTAGCAGGTGTACAACTCTAGTGGTGATGGACTAACTTACTTTATTTATAAACAATTACATTGTTTATTAACATTGATTTATAACTTTTATTTCCCTTTCCATTGAAAGGGAAATAATATTTTTCTTGACTATCAAAGCTATACCTTTGATAATTATACAACTAATGTTAAATTTGATATTTTGATATATTTATTTAATTCTTTTCAGTGGATTCTTCCCAGTAGCTGTAAACTTTTTGCGTCGCATGCCGGTCATTGGACAAATACTCAACCTTCCGTTTCTCAGTGGAGTAAGTTGATGTAGCATATGAATTTTGGTAGTTATAGGTTGTTGATAGTGGAATACCTGTACACATCAGAGGTGGTGAACCAGTTGTTGTTTAGACTGGTAGCACACAAGACTCTATGTGTGTGGGGGTGTGGGTGTAGCCAGTAGCACATGACTCTTGGCGTGTGTGTGGGTGTAGCCAGGAACACATGACTTGGCGTGTGTGTGGGTGTAGCCAGTAGCACATGACTCTTGGCGTGTGTGTGGGTGTAGCCAGTAGCACATGACTCTTGGCGTGTGTGTGGGTGTAGCCAGTAACA